CCAAATGGGGTACTCAGGGTGCACCTTTCATATGGACTGAGTACACCCTCTTGTAGTTGAGCCTTGTTTGCTGCTGGCAGGTTAATGGGAGGGATTTACCCAGGCCAGTCAGCTGCAAGGACTGGCTGTGACTGCTAGCCACCAACCTCCGCCTTCTGTGGAGGATCAGCTGTGCTGAGGCAGCATGGTGTTGCTCTGATGTGGTCTGTAGCTGTGCACAGGGTTCACAGGCTCTGGGCTTTCCTGGGTGGTATAGACCTAGGTCAGCCCCCACCTCTATTCTGCCTGGGGCCACCCTGCATGAACTATAAAGCAGTCTGAGGTAGCTGCTACTTGTGATGAGCTTGAGAATCCCAGGTGAGGCTAAACTGTGAATCTAGGCTGGCTGCTGCTAGTGCTGAGCCTGGCGCCACTTAACAAGAGGTACAGGGGCCTTGGGGGCTCACTGAGGCCGGCTGTTATCTCTTTGAGGGCATTTAGGAAGTTGTGAAGCATGAGCCAAGACCAGACATGCATATAGAAAAGTCACCATTAACAGTTTGGGTGGGATGGAGTCTCAGGGGATCCCCAGGGCGAGGCAAACAGTGTTAGCCAGGTTGATGGAGCCTCAGATATGGCACCCATCTGCCAGCTCTGTGGCTCTGTGTGGGGAGGGTTCAAAAAGGGGATAGTGGTCTCTGCCTACCATTCTGTCTGAGAGAAAGCTGTCCCCCAGCTCTTGCCTTGCAGCTAAACACTTCTGTTCCTCCCTGTATGCCACTGGTGCCTTTCAAGCTGCTACCCTGGTCCTGGAGCTCAGAGGGAGTGAGTCTGAGTAGGTCCATGTGTGTGTTATTTAAGAGGTACTGCCTGGGGCTCCAGCAGTTTCTTCCACTGACTCAATCCCTGCTGGTTTTTGCATCTAGGAGTTAGGGGGATTTATCTTCCTGGCACGAACTCTGGGCTGAGGGGCCTGGTGTAGGGCTGGAAATCCTCACTCCCAAGACATCCCTCCTGAATTTTTATCCACCACAGGTGGGTGTGGGACCAGCCTGTTCCGTGTCTCCACCCCACCTACTGGTCTGAATGGATGTGGTTTCTTTAATACTATACTCATTGGACTTCCATTAGCTCGATTTCTGATGGTTCTGAGTGATGGTGGTTCTATATTTTAGTTGCAATTTTGATGTGGTTGTGTGAGGCGGTATGTCATGTCTGTCTGTGTGGCCATCATGACTGGGAGTTGCCCTAAGTTTTTGAGGGACAGTTCAGATGTCTTTCTGAAGTTTTTTAGCACCTGGCCATGAACTTTGAAAAGGCCAGTGACAGATCTTCAAGGAGTTCAGATAATATCTCAGGGGTTCCGCATTGCTCAGATGCTGAGGCAGGTGCTGTCCTGATGCCAGCAGCAGCCCAGGATTTCCCCCACCCCCTGCCACCCCAACTTCTGGCAGAGAGAAGGAAAGCCATACATCTTCCGATGGCCCCTGGAAGAAAACTCTTCGGAGAGCTTCCTCCCCAAATGGGCCCAGGCTGTTTAGGCTGAGGCCCTCCGATGGCCCATGGAGGGTGGTGGGGTGGAGATCAGCCTTGTCCAAACTATGTGGAGTGAGAAGCTTTGTGACTAGAAAAGGACAGGCAGGCTGAGCAGGTGACGAGAGTGGCTATTGATGACAGCTGGTATCACAAAGCAACCCCTTGCACTGTTGCCTTAGTCAGCTTTGTGCTTCCACGGGCCTGAGTTACAAAGTGGGAGGAGTGGAATCCCTTCTGGTCCTTCATGTTGATCTGATCTGCTCGGACATGCAGGGCAGGCTGGATCCCATTTTCTAGACCAATGGCTGCCACATTTTAAAAAAAATTTCACAGGCCAGAACCATTTAAAAAAAGTGACGATGGGGTGGGGGGAGGTCACTGGGTTGCCAACCTTTAAAACAAAAACAAAATGAACCTGTGGTTTCATAAAATCAAGGACATCCTGCAAACAAAAGGGGGGCATTCTGTGAAAACAGAACAATAAATTTAGCCATATGAAGAGATTAATGTCATTTAGGTTAGTTTTTACCAGCAGTATTTTCACTGATGCCGCAAGTCTCCTGCATGGCTCACCTACTGTGTTTTTTTGTGTGGCTCGTTAGCAGCAGAGCACAGGTTAGAACCCAGGCCTCATTATATTAATAAAAATGCCAGGATTTTAATTAAAACTCCAGTTCATTTTATCTGGTGCGTTTCTACAACTTCTTGGTTCATATTTGTGAATGCCTGGTTGGAACCACAAGTGAAATTGGTCCCTGGTGTTATCAAAGTTCACTTCTTGACAATAAACTTTTTTCCTAAAGCCAATTGCTACGTGTCACGCGCCGCCGTAGGCCCTGGGCGTGCAGCCACTGACAAGACCGGTGTCCCTGCCTGGTAAAGTGTGCGTTCTAGTGAGGGAGGGAGCCAGCAAGCAGACCGAGAGGAAGTACTATTTCAGTTCATGTGAGTGCCAGGAAAAAATTGTTCACATATTTTTGATCTGTGGATTGAGCTCTTGGGTAGGCGTGAAGCCACACCCATGTCACAGCAAATCCCGTTCCCTTGTAAGTTTTCCTGTGTTAGGGACTTAGCTGCAAGCAACAGGACTGGTGGGGAAGGGAGAACAAGTGGCTCCAGGCAGCGCTGGGGTTAAGAAAAACTGGGTTCTTGGGGGTCCGTTTTTCTCCAGCGCCTGAAGCAGCATGGTGGATTCAGGTGTGATCTAGGGTGGTGTGGCTCTCTAAGAATAACAGGCAACAGACAGTACTGAGTACAAAAGAGAGGGGTGGAGTGTGACTACGGCAGCTACTGATGTGCTTGCTTTCCCCTGGGCTGGGCAGTGAACTTGGTTTGCTCATGTGACCCCCCTAAATCACAGTAGGTTGGTTTTTATTGTTCTCACTTTACAGGTGAGGAAATCCAGTCTTAGTAGAGAAGTAAAACAACTTACCCAAGGCCACAAAGCCAGTTAGCAGTGGAATGAGGAAGTCTCACTTCAGAGCCTCTTTGTCTAGTCTCCACCATAATCCAGGATACGTCGGGCCGGTCCTGTCGTGTCAGGGGCCCGACCAGTTAGAGTGGGCTCTAGACAAAAGTCAGGGCCCAGCCGCTAAGCCAAGGCAGCAGCCAACAGGATGCACAGCGACACTCAGGAAAGGTCGTGACGTGATAGGCAGGCTCATGGGTGCCCGGGGCCAACAACAGGAAACCAGACCAGTTCCAGATCCCGGTTGCTCTGGGTGGAAGCTGTTAGTCTTCCTCGCTGTGGCCAGGACTTTCTTCCAGGCTCTGTGGCCATCCACAGCTGAGCGGGGGTGGGATGGGAGGGAGTTGTTTGCCACCAGAGTGTGCCTTTGGTGTGCAGTCCTTCCTCTTAGCCATCTATTAAACCAGAGTTAGGGTCAGAAGGGGAGATTTCTGTCTACTGCTTGCTTCTTGTGTGGGCCTTGGGCACCTTAATGACCCTGGGCCCCAGTTCCCAAATCTGTAAAATGGAGATAAACCTAACTTGGTCACAGGATGGAAGTGAGCCTAAAGGAGACAGCGTGCCCTGTGCAGAGGGCCTGACCTGTCTGTGATACACGCTAGGCATTTGGAGGTGGGTTAATATGATCAACACCAAAACTAACTTTGAAAATAGCCCCATTTCAGGGGGGAAACAGCCCTGTTTTCATGTGTCTGTTTGGTGACGAGGGCTAGTTACTCAGGTATTGCATGGAGAAGGGATTCTGAAGATAAGCAGGTTGTATCTAGGGGTCAATGGTGTGTATATCTTTTGGGGGAGAGATGACATGCTGCTCTGTGTCATTTCACTGAGGCCAGAATTGGCATGAGCTACACGGCAGGGTAACCGCCGTCTAGTTTTGCCAGACCGGGCCATACCGACTGAGTTCTGAAGCACCCCAGGGGTCAGTAGAAGTGCCCTGAGAAGCCCCCGGAGGCCGGGTGGTTTCGGAGGTGGGGGCATTCGCTGTCCCTGTCTTTCTGAAGGTGGAAAGGACCTTCCGGAGGAGTACAGGAACTGCGGTAGCTGTCAGCCCCTCTGCGGAGCTGCTCTCCTGGGTGTCCTTGCCACATGATTTAACTTTTCCATTTGGAAAGGTTATTGGTGCAGTTGGCCGCCTCTTGCCTGGTAAACGATATGGTGGGGCCTCCATAAACCCAGGCCCATGAAACGAGTAAGTCAGCACATTGAAAATACAGCGTGGAAGTGACTCAAGCCCAAAGGAATCCATTTCTGAAAGTGCTGCCATCCCTTCCTGGAATATTTTGGTGGAAATTGATGTTTGAGTTGGGAAGAGGAGGCCAGCAGCCTGGTTACTAGCAGGGCCTTGCGTCGCATTGAGCAGCATGCGCCCCAAGGTTTAGCCCTGCCCGCCCCAGACCACGGAGCCGTCCTCACTGAGGCGGCCCCGGGCAGGTCAATCTGATGTGCGCCCACCGGAGCTCCAGGCTGGGGGAGCTGGCGCGACCCTATCTTTGCAGCAGGTAAGGTCGACTCTGCAAGTCAACCTGGTAATGCTTGGCCAGGGGCCTGGAAAGTATTGGAAACTCCACCCAGCGTGGGAGCCTGTGGGAGTTCTCCGCCATGGACGGGTTACTCTTCTCAGAGTTCAGTGGGTTCCTGTGTATTTAAAATGTTTACCTCCTTCTCAGGACTTCAGCTTGTACTTTGCCCACCAGAGACCAATACCAAGCATATACATACTTAAATGCACTAGACCACCCTGGCGACCAGGTGATTAAAACTGCACACAGATTTGGAAGGAAGGCTGTATTGGAAATCACGCTCTGCTGTAATTCAAGAACAGGTTTCTTTATAGAGGGACACAGTTGGTGTCAGACACATGTGGAAAAGAAAAGAACAGGCCCGTGATTCTGGCAGGGCACCAAGGGCCAGATGTTAAATGTGCTGACCATGATCTGGCTGCAGTTGCCATTAGCCAGCCTGTGTCTGATGTGTTATTTTAACCCGTTTCTGCCTTTCCCTTTCTCTCTGCCAGGTCCCCAGTCTATGTGAAGATCTCCTGTCTTCTGTTGACCAGCCACTGAAAATCGCCAGAGACAAGGTGGTGGGAAAGGATTACCTTTTGTGTGACTACAACAGAGACGGGGACTCCTATAGGTGAGCTCCTGCGCCTAGAGTGCCGCAGGCATGCCGGGCCACCCCCTGGGCAGTCGGTGCCACGCAGCAGCACCAGGGCCTCTGATCTTGGACAGGCTGACGGCCCCTCAGCCTTCTTTACATTTGTCCTTCTGCTGGTCCTTCCTCCCTCCCTCTCTCCCTCCTCTCCCGCCTTCCATGCAGTCACCCAGTAGAGGTTGTGGAGTACCTCTGGTGAGGATGGGCGATTCACTGCAGACAAAAGGCTTCTGCCCTGGTGGAGCTCTCAGTCTAATGGGAAAGGATGTTCTTACAAAACAACAAGCAGTTTCATTATAATTGAGTAAGTCCTGCAAAGGGCAAGGTGCAGGGCGATGGGGGTCCGGAGCACAGGAGGGCACGTGTGGTTAAGGGACATTTGAGTGCAGCGTTGTCAAACAAATATGCAACTCTCCTTTCTCTTCTCCATCACCATGCTGAGGGCAGTAAATAACTAAGGCAACATAAGTCCCTGCCCTGGGTGATCACTGGGCTAGAATTGGAGATGTACCCAGCAGCTGATTATTGTACGACATGATTCATGCAGCCAGTGCCAACCTTGTTCAGGGTTTGAGAGTAGTGTATAAGAGACCAAAGTTGAATCTGGGAGGACTTCCTGTGGGAGGTGCTGTCTGAGCTCAGTTTTTAAGGGTGTCCAAGAGTTCTTCCTATTAAAAAAGATTGGGGCTCTGGCTGGCATGGTTCAGTGGATTGAGTGCCAGCCTGTGAACCAAAGGGTCACTGGTTTGATTCCCAGTCAGGGCACATGCCTCGGGTTGCATGCCAGGCCCCTTGTTGGGAGTGTGCAAGATATTTGTGTCTTCCTCTCTCTCCCTCCTTTCCCCTCTCTCTAAAATTAAATAAATAAAAATTTTTATTTATTTATTTTTTTAAAAGGGAATCCTAAACCAGTCTAGTATTTCTGTGATGGATTGCTATAATCAGTGCCCTGGAGAATGGGGGGTGGGGGAACACAGTCTGCCTTAGGTTTATTCGGAGCCCACAGAACCTGGGCTGAGTTTTGAAGCTTCAGTGTAGTGCTCTCTTTGGGGAGCGGGGGGCGGTCAGCTGCAGTCAGCTGACCGGGGCCCTAGGCTAGCACTACCCTCCTCCATAGCAATGGGAACTTCAACAAATTACTTGTTATCTCTGGTCTTAGTTCTGTCACATAGTGACAAAGTATTCGTTCTTTCAACAGCATACTTAATAATGTCCCTCTATAAGCATGTGCTGTATATGCCAGGCACTATTCTAAATTGCTCTTCTGTGGTTCTGTGGACCATATATCCTAGTGAGGGAGCCAGATAGTAAGCAAATGCATAAATAATGCAGACTGTGAAAAATGAATAAAGAAAATAAAAAGGACAAGGGAGAGGCAGGATAGGTAGACAGGGAAGGCTCGTGTCAGTGGTAGTGTTTGCAGTGAGATTTAAGGATGAAAGAGTTCAGTCCTGCACAGGTCTGGGTGAAGCTGAGCTGGTCGGGATCAAGCCCAAAGGACGGCCAGGGCGGGAGAAGGCAGTGCGGGCAGGAGATGAGTCAGAGGTGGGGGCCGTTGGTGCAGGGCCTTGAAGGCCAGGGTGAGGGGATAGGGCAGGGTTATTGCAGGAATTTGGAAACACGCAGAGGACTGTCGCACAGAACTCAGTGTAAATCACAAAGATTTAATGAATACTGACTTTCGAAGAGACTAGGCAATTGTTTTATAATCATGTCCCTATTCTAGCTTCAGATGGAAGTTAGGTAGACAATGTATTTTGACCTAATTCAACCCAGACCAGAGCGTAGAGTGGAGATGGTGAATCTGTGGTCTGTGCCTAAAAGTAGAGCCAGCAGAGGCTGCATGTGGATGAGATGCGAAGGGCGGCGGCAGGGCTTTGAGCCTAAGCAGCTTGGAGGTTAGGGTCACTGTATGTTGAGGTAAGGAAGACTCTGGGAGTTGCTGGTTTGGGGTCACTTTGAGCTCCAGATGCCCGTTAGGTGAAAGTGGAGACGCCCAGCACCCTGTGACTAGTCCTGGCCTGGGTGGAGAGGGAGGCACAGGTGTGGGGGGCCCCAGCGTGGGGGCGGTGAGGCAGCCCTGGGGCAAGCAGTGTCGGCCTTGGGTGCTAGGAGCACAGGTCCAGGTCCAGCGCTCACTGGGAGCCTCCTAGGAAGAGGGTGGACCAGCACTTCCAGGGAGAGAGATCATGAGGTGCCAAGTGGTCCCACAGACCAGGGAGCACATCTCCAAAGGACAGGCAGCCTTGCCAGGCTCAGCATTCAGGGGAGGCTTCCTGGGAGAGGTGACCTTGAGCTGAGTCTTGCGTAATCAGGATCACTAAGCTTCCTTTTTTCCACCTGAAAACTCCAGCTTGCTGTGCGAGGCAGCCGTTCCTCAGCAACCTGTGGGTGGCTGGGGCCATTTCCATACCCACGCCAAGACCGGGCAACCCTGGGGACTTGCTACCTGCCTCCCGCCCAGGTGGGCCTGCCAGCCCCTCCCTTCATTGCTCAGGCGCTGCAGGGGGCGTAGGGGCCCTCAGCCGAAGAGGAGCCGGGGTGTCAGGGCACAGGAATTTTCTTCCCTTTGTCCGCTTCTCCGTATAGAACTTCAAGGTCTTCTGAGTTTCTCCACACATTTCCATCCTAGCTGTTTGATCGTTTGCTTAAATAAGATCCTTATGGTGTGACCGTTGCCAGCAGCACTGTTTGAAACCTGTTAGCTGAAACAAAAAGCATTCTCTGAGGGAAATGAAAGGCCTGACTTTTGAAATCTAAGTGTTCCTGTCCATCTGTCTTTTTTCAAATGGCCTCCATTTAAGCTCTTAAATGTGTTCTGAGTGCCCCTTCCACTAAGAATATTCTGGGTAATGTTATGATTTTTCCCCCAGCTACAATTACCCCGGCTCCAGGGCTAACGGCTTGAAATGCTGTCGTCTGTGAGCCAGGAGAAATGTGAGTTACAGGCTTCTTGAAAATCCCAGGCCCCCAGTCTGCAGGAGGGATGGGCTCTTGTGTCTAATCATGTCGCCTTTAAGTGAAAGCTGGTTGGGGTGGGTCTTCCAGGCCCATAGGAAGGAAGGCGATGGCCGTTTGGGGAACAAAGGTCAGAGCTCGAGTGTTGCAAGGAGACTCTGGGCGGGGGTGGTGTTCAGGTTCTTGCTCTCAGAAGGTTCTCCACTCCCACGGGAGGGCGGCGGCGGAACCTAGCTTACAAACAGGGGAGGCCACTGCTCTCTTCAGCTGTGTCTTTGTCTCGGCCTGGGGAGAGGCCTCAGCAGAAAAGACAGAGAGTTGCTCCATCTCTGCTGGTTTGCAGGGCCACCAGCAGCCAGCATTCCCCTGGGTCCTTTCTTCCCCACTCTGTGCTGTAAGTCGCCTGCCCTTACTGCGCACGACCTCAGTGCTCGGTACTCGGGCGTGAAGGCAAACAGCCTGGGCTCCCTTCTCAAAATTCTCTTGCAGCCTAGGGCAAGAGAAGGGTAGGAATATGGTAAGAATCCTCATCCGTGTGGGAGTGAGGGGATGGGGCATGGGGGAGGGGGGGCGTTGGTTACTTCTGCTTCGGGGGATGGTGTTCTTCGAGAACTGATTTATTCTTTGAACAATGCTTTTTAAAATGAGCGTGTGGTTGAGTGTTAAGCACCGTTCTAGGTGCTGAGCACATGGTGGAGAACAAAAGACTCGCCTTGTTGGGGCTTAGGTCCTGGAGTTAGCTAGCTAAATTTAAATCAGTTCAAATTAGATTAAGTAAAAACTTCAGTCCCTCAACTGGCCACAAGTCCTCAGCCACATGAAGCTGGCAGCTGCATTTTGGACATTTGGGACATTTCTGTTGCTGTGGAAAGTTCTCTCAGACAGCACTGTTCGGAGGGATGAACCAGACACGTCTGCCCGCCCTCGGGAAGGGGAGGTCTTCTCTACTTGCTGACGCAGGTGCTTGGTGGGGCGCCCATAACCAAGAGGAAAGATGTTTGTGCACAGAATTTGTTAAAACTGGGGTTCAGAAGACGGTGACACCCTTTTTCCCTTAAGTTCCATCCCAAATTGAAAGGTTCTTTTATGCCCTCAGTGGTGTGAGGTTTGTTGTCAGCAGGAGAACAGGGAAGGCAATGTGGCGTCCGTATTGTGGACACATGGAGGTGTATATGCCCCGAGGTGCAAAGGGCTTTGTCTGAATTTCACATTGTCTTCTCCTTTCCGTTCCCCTCACCTTTTTAATCCTTTTTCCTTCTGTGAACCCCCAGCTCTGTAAACTCCACCTGCAGGATTTAATGAGTAGATATTTCCCTTATAGCGCCCTTTCCAGTACTCTCTGTGATTAAATGCTTTCCTGATGTGGCAAAATACATTTTAAAAAATGTGGCAAGTCTTCAGGCTGGCAAACCAGAGGCTGGTTCTCATTACTTAGTGGTCTTTATATGCATATGGCCCTTGGTGTGCGGAAGGCTGTCCTCTGTCCACATGGAGACCTTGGTCGCTCAGACTTTGCATGTGTAATCAGCATCCCCGGGGGCCGAGTCTCTTGCCCACTCCTGTAACAGCGGCTTTCTCCCTAACCCTTAGTCATGTAAGAAGGTCTTGAGAGTAAAGGTTTCTACAGAGCTGTCAGTGGGTCAGGCAGGAGAAGGGGGCATCTGTTGATCAACACAGTGGTAAAAAGAAAGGGGAATTAGAAAAAGGGTAAGAAAGAAATTACATTTGTTGGACATGCACTATATGCCAGACTCTAGGCACTTTTGATGTATTTTCTTCCTTGCTCCTCATAACCTCCCTGTGGGTAGCAGATAGCAGCCTCATTTTACAAAGACACCAAGCCGCTTGCAAGAACAACACAGCTAGTGAGAGCTGGAGTGCGGGGTTTGTACCCAAGTCTGCCGCCAAACCCTCACTCTGCAAACCTCACGAAAGCCAGGTTTATTTCCAGGGCCTGGGAAAATCTTTGCTGTGTGTGGTGGCTTTTTCTCCGAAGTTTTAGGCAGCTGAGGCTTAAGCTCATGGGTCATAGGCCGTGTCTCCCCAAAATGAAAATGTTACCCTTTCCTTTCTCCCCTCCAGGTCACCATGGAGTAACAAGTATGATCCTCCCTTGGAAGACGGGGCCATGCCTTCTGCTCGGCTGAGAAAGCTGGAGGTGGAAGCCAACAATGCCTTTGACCAGTATCGAGACCTGTGAGTTGCTTGCTCTTTGTGCTCTTGCGGTTTTGATAAGTAAATCGGTCATAAATGAGAGTGAGGCCAGGCCAGTAAGTCTCCCTTGAGCCAGTTACCTGGCTTGCCTAGAGCAGGGGCTGCGCATCAGTTTTCCAGTCGGGGCAGCTAGGAGATGACTCGCTGATAGAGTGCTGTCACGCGCAGATTCACCTGTGCACAGCTCCGTGCATGGTTCCTAATAACAGCAGATGCCCTTGGGACAGAACCTACTGTGTGTGAAACACAGTGCCGGGCATTTCCCTCACGTCACCTCATCCTCACAAACACGGCAGCTGGCTTAGTCCCCAGTTTTCAAATGAAGAAACTAAGATTCAAAAAAAGGTGTTTATCCAGGGGAAGAGGCAGAGCCAGGAATCACACCGAGGCCTCTATCTCCAAAGGTCCACCCTCTCTTCTTTACCGTGCTGCATGTCCCACCCAGTTCTGGTGCTGGGGGTCTCTGCTCCCAGACCAGTCACCAGGGCAGGACGAGTTGAGGTCCTTCATTCCTGAGTTGCTCCTCGGGAGGCGGTTTTGCCGGCTCGGATTAGATGCTTCCCCCTTCTCCCTGCTCCCTTCCGGCCCCACCTCCCCTCACACCACCAAGGAGGGTGACCACACAGTTATCCTTGCAGGGAAAGGCGCCGGAAAAGGTTATCCTCTGCAGTACTGTCTGTGACAGAATCTCATTTTAGGTTCAGTTCTGTACTGCTAATATAGCGAACCTGTAAAGTATCCAGTACCACCGCAGTACAAATTCAGTCATCAGGGAAAGGGGTTGGCAGATTCTTCCATAAAGGGCCAGGCAGTAAAACTTTTTACGCTTTGCAGGCTACGTAAGTCACTGTTACATATTCTTTGCTTTTTCTTCTACTTTTGTTTTCTATTTCCCTTTAAAAACATAAAAATTACCTCTTGAGCTGAAGGTGGGTAGAATTTGGCCCTCAGTTTGTACCCTGATGAGGATGCAGGCAAGAAACCGAAAACGAAACAAAGCACCCGAACTGCTGAACCCGGCGCTGTTCGGGAAGGCTGAGGGTCCACTTGGCGTGAGGAGTCAGGCCTCCACTTGCAGAAAGTTGGAATGGGCTTCCATTTCATAGCAGATTCATTACAATGCATTTAATAAAGAGCTCCTATTAGACGTTGGGTCAGAAGGAAAAACGACATTCAGCCTGATACACAAACATTTAAGCAGACGAGTGAAATTCAGAAGTGCAGCCACAGCCAAATGGCCCTCAGCATTTCCTTCACCCCAAGTGTATTGCTCTGTAACCAGCGTTCTCTGTCACATGCTAGTATCTTATCTACATTATCTTGTCCCCTTTTTACAGATGAGGAGACTGTGGCTCCGAGAATCTGAATGACTAGGCCACAGGAAGTAGAGATGAAAAGCTAGGATTTAAATTCATATTTGTCTGAAGTTTCTGCAAATTACTGGTTTTCACAGTTAAACTCAGTTTCCCTGTTTAAAGAGTTCTGACATCCAGAATTTTGTCCTATTGTAGAATAGCTCCTTTGCCAATGATGCTGAGAAGTTGACTCATTGCCATTTCATAGTTTATTTGTAGTTGTTTTTTACTTCTTCTTTTACGCAGCCATTTGGCAAGAAGCCAGTCCAGCTATTAAGAATTTCCAAGTGGGATCAGTTTTATATTACAGTGATGATTTGATAATAAAATAGCAGTGATGAGAACAGCAGTTACCAGCCGGTGACTGTGCAAACACTGTGTTAACTGTCTCCCAATCTTCATCTCATTTAATCTTCCAAATGGCCTGTGAGAGAGGATTCTCCCTGTTTCACAGATGAGTTAACGGATTTAGAGAGGTGAAGTAACTCGCCCAAGTTCACACAGCCAGTAAGAGGTGGAACTGGGCTATAGAGCCGTCCATCTCCAACTCCAGAGACCAAAATGTATTTGCTCGACTGACATTTGAGGGCTTGTTACGAGCCAGGTACTTGCTAGGAACAGGAGTTATGGCCTTCAACTCAGCTGACCAAGGCCCTGCCCTCATGGCACATGCACTGTGGAAAGACACAATATAACAAGCACTACGGCGGGGGATGGGATAGGGAGTGACTTGCTTTAAGGAGAGCAGTCGAGAAGGCCTGTGTAGGTGATGTTGAGCCGAGGGCTGCTGCTCAGAAGGGGCCGGCCATGCCGAGTTTGGGAGGAGCGGTCCAGGCAGAGGGCTGCTTGTGCAGCGTCTCCGAGGCAGGGAGGCTCTTGGATTCTCCAAGAGTCAGGACAAGGGTGGTTGTGGTTTCTTACAGACCTAAATGTATAGGCTGAGATTTCCTGAATAAGGTGATGCAGACATGTTGCTTTGTGCTGTCCTTAGGAGCAGACCTGGGAAAGAGCCCAGTTTCATCTTTGACTTTTCTTCCCTCTCTTTACCCCTCCCGTCTTGCTGGTTCTTACACATACGCTTCTCACTTTACGATGGGGTTATGTCCCCATCATAAGCTGACAACATCCTAAACTGAAAATGCAATTGATACACCTGCTGCACAGCACACTTAGCCTAGCCTACCTTAAATGTGCCTACAGTTGGACAGTTGAACTTCATCTCAAGCAACAGCCTTCCTCTTACCAGAAGGGGGAGACACAGGTGGGCGTTTTGTAGGCATGAGGGGATATAAAAATAAAAACACATTATCCAAAAAGCACCAGCAACACCTTATACTGTAGAGTGTCAGTGCTAGCCTGGAAAAAGATCGAACTTTGAAGTTCAGTTTCTACTGAATTTGCGAAATCGTTAAGTTGAAGAGTCTCCAGTGGGGAGATGCCTGTATAAGGACACATGGTCGCTCTTAGGTGTGCCTCTGTGGGAGCTTGATTGGCCTGGTGCCTTGAGCATTTCCCCACTATTATTTTAAAATCTTCGAAGTAATCCCTTAACCCTTAAGTTGAGACCCCACAGTGGGAGCCATCTCATCTACCGGACGATGGGACCAAGAAGTGCTGAGGTGCTTCCCACGGTCCACGCCCTGGGCCTGACCCACTACAGCGCCTTCAGAAGAGGCCTCCCCTTCCTGGCCAATGTCCACTTTTCTGCTGGTTTTGAAGCTCTGGTGACCGTATTTCTGTGTCGCTGAGTGCGCCTACACTCTGTCCTGAAAGTGAGCTGACCTGCTGAGGGGATCGAGGGTGGCGACGGGACAGCTTCTTGTACTTGCTCGGGCGGGGGGATCGCACTGGACAGGCCAGACCCTGCGGTTCTCTGACAGGTCGTGATGGTGGCATCCCAGCCTGGGGGGTGCTGTCCTGTCCCCAGCAGTGGCCCCATGCTGCTTCAGGTGGGAGGAGGAGAGCGCAAGGCCTCCAAGGGGCGCCCACAGAGGAGGGCAGGGAGGCCTGGTTCTCCCTGTCTGACAGCAGCCACAGGCCACTGGAGAGATGGTGGTTAGAACCGTCACTGGGGACCCAGAGTCATCAATTTTAAACCACCCAGTGTTATCAGAGTGCACTGGGGACACTCTCCTGAGACCACATGTGAGGAACGTTTTCCCAGCTGGACCACATGTGATGAGCCAAACCATTTCTGGGTTGCGAGTTGTTGTCGGTCATGTTGGTGGCCGAGATGGGGCGTGGAGCATGAGCTCTTTTCCCCGTGGTTTTGGAGCAGATGGAAGTCAGCCAGGGACCAGGAGGCCTCGTCTCTGCCTTGTGCAGCACAGGCCAGCAGTTACTCTGGGTTTTCTAGGGACCAGATTGTTCCCTGGCTGAAGGGACAGTAGGTCATGCCTCCTCTTTATCCTTTGTCCTGGCTCCTCCCCAATAGAAAGACTCATCCCATCCTCACAGGAAGACTCATTTGTTGTCACCCCAGGGAATGAAGACGCAGAGCTGTAACTGTCCCTCTGTCTCCTTTTCACTTTGGCAAGTGGGGACAGTGAAGGCCACTCTGAGGGGAGACATGGCCCCGACCCCATGGCACTGCCATGTGTCTGCTGACTGTGGTCATTCTGAGCTGCCGCATGCGGGCCTGGGAAGATGCCCTGTGTCCTGGGCCTGGGTAGAGGAGCCCAGGGCCTCAGGCAGACCCCCCGCCCCAGCCCCCCACAACCAGAAAGAAAGGGGCGTGACTGAGGAGTCCGCCACCCAAGAGCAGGACTGGCGCAGCCCTGTGCCTGGGGAGGGGCCAGGTGAGTAGGGCCGCCCCACTCCCAACAGGAGCGTGGCTGCACCCCGGGGGGCTTGAAGACTGTGCAGAGCACACCTGTCCCCCATGCTAACTGGGAGCTGACAGCCCAGGTGTTCCTGAATTCTTGGATCCTGATGAATGGCAGTTAGGACTGGATTTGGCTTATGTTCTGGCCTCTTGATCTCTCACCGCCTCCAGTGACTGAACACTGCCAGACTCTGGCCATGTTGGGGCTCACATCCTCTTATGGTGAGTGCTGTGTTGTAAGGAGCCTTTGGGGACTGCTTATTCTGCAGACCACTCACAGGAAGGACCTTGCTCTGTCCTGGGAGGCTAGCAGTACACTCTGCTGCCCCATGGCGCCCTGTCTCCCCCCGCACACACACACTGTGCCTTAAGACTGAACTTGGGGGAATTTTTGTTGTCATCCGGTAAATAGGCAGGCACAGCTTCCGCCAGTACCAGCGGAGTGGGGTTGGAGGGTGTGCTCAAGTGCACAGTGGTGACTTGGCGTCCTGGTTCCCTTTTCTCCCTGCTTCTTGTGGGTCTGTTAACCTTTTGGTTCCCTGAAGTTCTCCTTAAGAAGATGAGGGAAAGGAGACCCCAGCGAATGTGCAGAAACTAAGAGCTGAAACATGCTGGAGCTGCACCAGGTTTCTTCAGGGAGGGGTGCTCACCCTCCCTGCTAGAGGCTCCTCTCTACCATGAGCATCCTGAGAGGAAGCCTTGGATCCTGTCCTGGGCTCTGAGCCTTGCTCCCGGGTCTGTAAAGGCTTTGACTTTGCAGGGAATTAGAATTAATTGTCAGCACATGGACTCGGTATGATCAG